CGAACAGACCGGAGCTCATTCCACTGGTTCACTCCAGATCTAGGAGGAGATCCATCAATAATAATAATAATAATAATAATAATAATTTTTAGGATAATTAATAGGTTGGATCTCTCAAATTTATAAAAACTAAATTTTTTACTTCATTTTATTCAACCAATATAGTGATGAAATTAAATATTTTTATAATATTTATTTTTACTAACGACAAATTTTTAGAATTTGATACTATTAACCTATAATTTTAATATTATATGCATACATATAACTTATAATTATTTAAATATTTGTGCACATAAGATCGAATACTATTAGATAAGATATTATTAGATAAGATGTTATTATGTAATAGTTACTATAATAAATAAAACCAATATATAGTACTTTGTAATAATAAATAGTAACTAATTAATACAAGGGAGAATAAAAAAATACACTTTTAATTTATTTTTGCTTATCGAGGAAGAAAATCATCAATAATATAAATTCTATCATCTAAATATTTTACAGTATTGACCACACATTCACACAGAGACACATACCCATGTAAATGTGTTGGAATATATGGCCAAAAACCTATGTGGGCAGTGCACATAGGTAACATCGAATTTATCCCATTGAAGCTCCAACATGCCCTCACCAGTTGACTCGTGAGTCAGTGACTGATCTTGCATGATCGTGCAACACTTATGGTTCCACCAAATTATTCAAAAAGTGGTTCCAAACAAATTTGGAGAATCTTGACCAAGCCTAACTTACTGGCAAGCAAGGTTCTAAAATCGAGATACTTCAAAAATGATAACTTCTTCAGTGTAAAGAAAAAAGTAGCAGCTCTTGGATGTGGAACTTCTGGATTACTGTCAGAGACTTACTACCTTAAGGTTTCAGATACAAGATAAAAAATAGGAGCAAAATTAACATCTAGGAGCAGCCTTGGATCCCTAACTTACCATGATTCAAGACTTCTTCTATCAATCCAGCTAAAACTCATATTCTTTGGGTTAAAGACCTCATTGATATCACAGGCAGAGGCTGGAACAGAGAAGTTGTGGAATATTTTTTTTGCCCTGAATGAGAGTGCTGAAATTTTGAAGATAAAAGAGATTGATCCTCATGCTGGTGATAAACTTATCTGGGATGATGGAGGTGAGGGGAAGATGTCTGTGGCTGCAGCTTACTAAAAGTTGGTGGGAGAAAAATGGAACTTGTTGGACACTGCAAAAGGTAGTTGAGACCAATCAACAATTAAAAAAAATGAGAGTCAGGAGCTGGAAACTCAGAATTAAAGGAAAAATTAAGCATTTCCTTTGCAAATGTGCAGAGAATTTACTCCCTGTCAATAGCAATTTGTGCAAGAAAGGATTGGTCATTGACTCCATTTGCAAAGCTTGTGGGGATGCACTTGAAACCAAGAACACCTGTTCTTTCATTGCTCCAGATCACAACTCATTTGGAAGCTCTCGCCTGGTTGCTGGAATTTTTCGAATTCATAGAATGATTTATTCAGGAACTGGTGGACTAGCTTATGCTCTCTCAATCATTCATCTTCTTCTGAAGCAAGAGTTCAAGTCACGACATTCTCTGATGGATTTGAAAGGAAAGAAATCAATGGGTTTCTAACAATTTGTGGAGGCCGGAAACTTCCATTGTACATAATGCGCTTTCGGATTGGGCAGAATTCTCTAATCTTGCTAGTTAGCTAGGTTCTTCTTGTTTTTGTACTCGTTTCTTTTGGTATCCATCTTTTGTTCAGATTAGTTTGTAAGCTTGTGACTAGGTCCTCTGGGTTAAGTGGTCACTCGCTTTTTGCAGTTGTGTATAGTTCAGGGAGGAATGTAGTCCGAGCTATCGGGTTCAGTTTGTTGTGACTGTTGTGTATAATTCAGCGAGGAATGTAGTTCGAACTATCAGGTTCAGTTTGTTGTGACTGCCAATAGCAATAATATCATTCTTTTGTTTTTTTTTTTTTAAGTTTTGGTTCAGAGCACCTTGTTGCTGCTTCTCAATTTCTATTCTTTGGATAGGTTTGTAGGCTAATTAGCCCCCGATCGTACTCTTTGTTGCTTCTCAATTTCTATCCTTTGGATAGGTTTGTAGGCTAATTAGCCCCCGATCGTACTCTTTGGAGCTGTAATATCTATCGTTCCGAAAAAAAAAAAAAAAAAATTATGGATTGAAAATTTGCTACCACAAAGTTAATTACAAATTGCTGGAATTGTTGTTGTCGGTAGGGGTTACGGACAGAAAAGTACCTATATATAACAATCAATAATGCTAAAGAGCCAACAATTGGCTCCGTTACGGAACCTACAACCAATGAGACAACTCTAGGTGGGACTGGCCCACAATACTTTAATGTGGGACAGCCCCACATGGAGTTATCCAATTGGTTGTTGGCTCCATAACGGAGCCAACTGTTGGCTCCTTAGCATTACTGATATAACAATAAAGAGCGGAATAATAATAGAAAAATACATATATAACAAATTCTTATGTGAAAACTTGACAGTAAGTCGAGTCAACTCGTCAAACCTTTCAACAAAAATACATTTCTGTGGAAAATAAACCAAAACAACGATTAATGTCAGAAAGTGCGCATATCAACAAGAACAAGAGCATTATGTAGTTTATGTCCCGACTGGAATACGCGTGAAAAGATCTCAGAAAACGCGCCACTGTACAGCAGCTCATAAGAAAGGTACTAGGCATCATCAACATCAATTGCTACAAGAATCCCTACTTAAGTCAACTTTCCGGAGCAGTTTGGTTAGGGCACTAGGCAGTACCAAGATGGAATCCTAATGAAAAAAATAATACGAAAGCCTTTAGCTACCCACGGTCGGTTCTTGTTCGTGCAGCCCAACATCATTCTCAACCGGCTTTTCTGAATTTTGTTTCTCTGCATCCTTATCTTCATCAACTGGTTCCACAGAGTCAACCTTTCCATATGAAGCTTCTTTCTCGGGCAATGCACTGATAGATTCCTCATTTTTCGCATTTTCAGATTTTTTAACATCCATATTCAATTTCTGAGTACTGGAGTCATTTTGAGCATCAGAAGTAAAAATTACCTCCGGAGCCACCTCGTTGGAATTTTGAACATCATCATTCGAATTCTCTTGTTCATGCAGCCCAACATCATTCTCAACAGGGTTTTCTGGCTTTTGTTTCTCTGCATCCTTATCTTCATCAATTGGTTCCACAGAGTCGACCTTCCCATATGGAGCTTCTTTCTCGGGCGATGCACTGTTAGATTCCTCATTTTTCGCATTGTTGGATTTTTCAACATCCATATTCATTTTCTTAGTAGTGGAGTCATTTTGAGCATCAGAAGCAAAAGGTACCTCCGGAACCACTTCATTGGATTTTTGAACATCATCATTTGAATTCTCGGTATTGGCTTCAGTTTGCATTTCAGCTGCAGAAGATTGATCCAAAACCACCTTGGTCTCCGTCTCAGTGCCCGTCTCGATTTTCTCAGTATCAGGTTTTTCCGGGATTGCCTCCTTGGTAATGACTTCACCGTCCCCAACTCCATTTGGGTCCACATCAGCATCTTCTTTCACGTCTTGAGTTTCACCTTCTGCATCAGCATTGCTCTTCTCGCTGAATTCCTTCTTTGTGCTCAATTTCTTTCTCCTTTTCTTTGGGGATGAGCTTGTGGGCCCCTCAGGCGCCTTTGATTTCTCGCTCAATCTCGCGGAGCGCCGTGGGGTATCCCCTGAGCAGGAGTATAACAACTTATATTAGGTCGCATTTGGATAGACATATTTGGACTCTAGATAGAAGGAATCCAATGACAACATATGAGATGATTTGAAATTAGCAAAACTTTCTTCAAATTTGAGCTGGATGATTCAAAACCCACTGAGATACAAATCCATCTATTGCTAGGATTAAGTCGAGAAATCCAATTCCTAATAAGTCCATACCTCCGAACAGCATGCAATAGCAACAGATACTATTTTTAGTTTGTTTTAGCATCATAGATTATACAACCGTGAGAGAGAGAGAGAGAGAGAGAGAGAGAGAGAGAGAGAGAGAGAGAGAGAACCAGTTTACCTGTGCCCCAATCAAATTCATTGACAGCAGGGCCATCAGGGTGAGACTTGAGGTACTTATCCAGCTGTCTCTTGTTCTTGATCTCTTCCCCAGTGGGAGATATAAAAACAATGTCATTCCTCTGTGGGGTGCCTCCTTTCTTTGGAGTAAACTGATGAGTTCACAATAACAACAACACTGAAGGTAACTGAAGTTCAATTGTGATAGTCACAGGAGGAAATCAAACGCACGGATAGTAAAATAACAGTTGTGAGATGGAGTTCAAACATGACAACATGTGGGTTGCAACCACAGGCACCTATCCAAGACTTCCCTCAAATACCTTTTCGACATCAGAATATGTAAAACCATAGCCAGACTTCTTAATTTGCACTATCAAGACATTAAGTCTAGCAGGCAAGCTTGTTGATTCCCAGCTTCTTTTGTATTTATACACACCACTATTAGCAAAGTTGAGTAAAACCGGAGAGTGGAAGATACGTTCTACAGCTCCACGGTTCAATTTGTAAATTAGGCAAAACACATGTTAAACCAAATGTAATCACACACAACGATAAGCGGGAATACAGATTACCTAACCGAAGCCCTTAATCAAAATCAGAAGCAATTCAATGAGCTAAACCACACTTTCCATTAAAGAACTCCTAGCTTCATCGAACTTATAGGCCCACAATTCTACTTTATATCATTGAGGTACACAAATTTTGCAATAAAACACACAATCCACAACTAAACCCTTAAATTTGTTCAGCTTAGCAACCTCAGAGAACACTATACCACGAAACCCTACCACACAACAACACAGTTAAAGAGAACGGAATAACCAAAGCATAAACATAATAACCAAGCAAAAAGGGGAGGAGAGGAAGACAGAAAACCTTCTTCACCCAGCCAGTTGGAGCAGGAAGCTCTATAGAAACGACGTCGTCTTGCTTGTTCTCTTCTCCAGTCGCCATTTTTTTCTTCCGTCTTTCTTTGATCTGTTGTTTTCCTAAATTCGAGAGAAGAAACTTTCTGAACTGAATAGATTTTTTGCAGGATTTATTTGTTTATATATTATTTATTGATAGGTGAGGGTACTGAGGTGGAGAGCGTGACAGGTGTGGATCCGGACATCACAAAGGACTATTAACGGCAATAAAGTACTCATTTGGCGTCCGGGTTTGTTGGCAGCATGCCTATTGCGAGGTCGTCGTATTTGCCCACTTTTTGTATGTTGATGCAAATAAATAAAACTTCTCAATCACTCGCACTGCAATTTGTTGGAGTGGGTTTCAAGTGAGGAAAAGACAGGGGAATAGTGCCTTTTTCGGAAATCGGCTAAAAAGAAAAAAAAAAAAAAAAATATGCACGTACACTTCCTCCTCTTCACTGGCGTGCCATCGAATTGTGGCCCGACCTCTTGTCGGGATCTAACCCGGTAGCTAGTCGATGATTGTCGTCCCTTATGTGGCGACTCAATGTCCATCTTTGGATGTCAGTGACTACGTATTTGAGTCAATTGCAGTTTTCAGGTATGTTGGCTTCAGATCTGTTGATCCTTTCATCGTATGTGAGTTGGTTGACCTGTAAGAGTGTTGGAAGTAGTTGTTGAGTTGTCGCTGGTATCTTTGATGTGTAGCTATTGACAGTTGATGCGGATGAAGGCCGGAGGCTCAAGAACGCATATAGTCTGGCATATCCTGCGTGCATGAGGAAGGCTCGTGCGGCCGCCGAGGCGAGCAGCAGCGAGCGCGACGTGGGCAAGGGGTGCGCAGGCGACGCGGGCATCACGTGGACGTGGACAACGAAGGCACGGGGGAGACAACCAGCAGCAGGCGGGGGCGTTCATGCACGAGGGCGACCCGACATTCTCGCACGCGGGCGACGAGCGTGCGTAAGGCACACACGGTGGGCGTGCCTTGCGCGGCAAGTGACCAAGATTCTTCTAGAAGATCTTGGCCGATTCTAGATGACTTATTGTTAGATTATTTTTAATAGTTAATTATTCCTTGTGATATGGGATACCATACCTAAAGGAGCAAAACGGTCGAGCAGACCGAGCAAGCCGGTAGGTCGAGCGGAATTAGAACCGAATAGTCCGGTTGAGCATCATAAAGATTAAAAGCCTTCGATCATGAAGAGTCTAAGGGGGGTTAGGCATGTGGAAAATAGGTTGAGGTATGACCCTCAAATGGCCTGGTCGAAACTCGACCTTAATGGCAAATGGTAGTCTAACAACCAGAACTCAGACTTGTAGATTCTAATTGAGACGGAGCTGGTCGTATCATCGAATGAGTCAAAGGATAAGAGGGAATCTTAGGGGAACTAAACCCCCACATGGGTAAGACCACGTGGCACCACCTCATTGGTCCACGCCTTATAACTTTCTTTGACACACTCTGAGATTAAGGTCGTACTATTGGGCATCTTGGACAATTGGGGCAACTAGCACATCATATCCTGGCAACCTTCTAGAAGTAGGTACCTCACCCCTATAAATAGGGTGAGATGCATTATTTTACCTCATTACGTTCATATTACTCTATATTTTTACATAATTTTTCTTCTACGCATATTCATTTAAGCATCGAAAGCTCTTCTCCAGAAAACTCCCGTGTGAGAGTTTTTGCAGAGGGAATGCGCTCAACCGGCAAGAAAGCATGCGGGAAAGCCGATCTAAGCCAGTCGGAGGTCTTTTTTGTACCATTTTAGGCCCGTCTGTAACACCCCGAGTATTATTAATAAAGGAATTACTAGCTTTTAATTTCAAAGCTAGCCTTTGTTAGTAAATAATCATGTCCATGTTCAAGTTCAAGTGATTCAGCTAGTTATATTCCAAGTTCGACTATTAGTCGATATGTTATTCGATTAATAATCGAATAAGTTTTCAAATTTAATTCCGATTTATTTACTTAATTAATGAGTCTGGAATTAATAAGCCCAGTTGACGAACTATTCGAAATATTAATGTTCGGATTAATCGTCTAAGTTAAGAATATTCGAATTAACTTTCGAATATCAAGTTCATGTTCGGAATAATATTCCGATAGTTAATCCAGTTAGAGTTCCTCATGTCAAGTTCGGGTTACCTATACTGTGACGCGTTCACATTGGTACACCGTCCATTGTTAATTAAGTAATGGTCATTAGCCGTGCTTAATTAACTTAATTCATGTTTAAGCTAATTAATCAAGGTTAGCTTAAAATAATCATGATTAGCTTAATGTTAATTAAGATTAATTAACATTAGTAAGGATTAGTTAAGGGATAATCATGTTTAGTGCTAATCATGTTTAGTTTAATTATCATGTCTTAATCAAGAATTAGTAATGATGTTTAATTAACCATAAGTCATGTTATCATGTAAAGTAAGCTCAATTGCTAAAGCCAATCATGCTTAGTTTCTACTAATGCCGAGTGTTATGGCTATATTCTTAGTCACGTGAACCCTCATCAATTTCTGGTACAAGTGGCTGTTCAATAGCAGCCCATATGGTGACTAAGCAAAGAGACCAATTTATGCCTTATACACGTAGCAAATGGCACACGGCCATAGGCCATGAATTTCTCCCTCTTTTTACTAATTCTTGTTTCTGTTCACTGAATATATATATATATATATGAGAGAAGTGGGTGAAAATTCAGCATATTCTCAAGTAATCACTAAACCGAAATTAAGAATAGTTAAGTTAGTTTAAGACTTTCTTACCGCATGCAAGAACTTTGCCGAATGAATGACCAAACGAGAATTTTTCAAGCACTCATGGAGGTAATTATATTTAACCTTCTTTTATTGTTATTAAGGCTATGTTATGGTCATTAGGTTCAGTAATGTTTATTAATCCATGAAATAATCCAAGTTAGAATCAGTTACGTCGTAATTAAGCCAACACCGAGTGTTGTTCGATTTTAATCGAATAACCGAGCAAATCAAGTTCAGTTAGTCATGTTATGTTATGTTAGTTATGTATGGTTAATTATTTTAAGTTAAAATATGTCTAGTTATAAGAGATGTCGCCGGGAAAGCAGCCGGACGGCCGGCGGAACGCCGACCGTGACGCCTACTGCACGCGGAATGCGTACAGGCGCAACCGGCAAACCCAGCGAGTACACGGGCAGCGTGTACGCGTCCAGTAATGCGCACGCGTACCCAGTACCCAGTCATTAAGCATCGCAATGCCATTGTGGTGTGTAAGGATGCGCATAGTGTGCGCACATACACACGGCAATACGTCATCGCGACTGTCTACCCAGTCCGCGTACGCAGCGACGCGTCACACGCCAGCAGCGTGTCTCGCGAGACATGTACGCATGCCAGCAGCGTATTACGCACGCTGGCCGAGTAGGCATGCATTCCAGTACGCCCGACAGCGTACCGGCAATGCACAGCGAGTCTCGGTGATGCCCGGCAGCACACCCGAGTACTCGAGGGTCTTAGCCACGTAGTCCAGCGCATCAGTTACCTGCCCGTGATGCGTGAATGTGTCTGGCGGTACGTGTGCGAGTCGCAGCCGTCACCCGCGGGCACGGCAATCACCTTTTTGCACTCAGCTAGTACCCAAACGCCGCTGGCCGTACACAGCGGTACGCCAGCGACCGTCCGAACGCACACACGGTGCCAACGGCACCAGCCAGCGTCCGGGATCAGCCCAGCAGTCGCGCCCATAGCCGCAGCATGGCTGTGAGCCGAGTCAGCCGCCGGCTGACCGGTCCGAGCAGACCGGCGGTTCGGACAGACCGGTTCAGACCGGTTTAGACCGGTTGGACCGATTTGTTTTATATTTTCATGTTTTAAGTCCCAGTTCATGATTTCAGTCCCATTTCTAGATAATTTCGGGCTCCAGTCCAGTTCAGTTCAGTAAATTCATGTTAGTTCAGTTCCGAGTTATTTAGTTCCGGTTATACCGGTTAAGCCCAGATATCATGTTAAGTCTGATAGAGCATCTTAACATATCAATCAGCTATTTTTATCAGTCTGAGCATAGTATTTAGTAAATGTTTATATTATTTTCAGTTTATTCAGGATCCAGATGATCAGC